GTGTGATAAACCATCAACAAGAGGTTAAATTGAATTAGTAATTTGAGTAACTATTATTACAAGTCTTACTTGATATGAACTGAACACTAGGAAACATGTAAGTTTAATCAACTGATCAATGTTTGAATTAACTTGTTCGCTAAAGGATTAGTAATTGTGAACGCAAATCTAATCATTTTAGGAATCGGTGAACATGAATAAATGAATTTGTGTATGCAATTGTCTATATATGCTTTTAAGGTGTAATTTATCTAAACCAAAGAACCTGAAGAGATTTGTTTTCCTGTTAGTTTATCGATATTTGTTAATTAACTGTTCGTTTGAAATTTAATAAACATTTATTTATTCCTTTCGTGTGTTTTGTAACCTATAGTAAATTATTTTAAACTAATTCACTACCATTCCCCTTGTGTTCGACACCCTTGCTTATCAAAGCTATACTATAGTCGATCGGGTTCACTGCCTGTAAGGTGTGGTTTAGATGCGATAAAATAGGAATTATAAATAAAAATCCAGTGCATTGAATATTACACATCAAGTTTTTTGTGCCGTTGCCGGGGAACGGTTTTCAATTACTTTAGTTTATTTGATTATTTGTTATTTGTTTTTAGTTTTATTTTATTTTTATTTTCGTTGATATCATTTCACTTGTCGGGAAGGTTCTTGTTGTTAATTGCAGGAATTTGGGATCGTACACATTGATTGGCTTTACCTTTTGCATGGGTTTCGAGAATGAAAGCGATTACGGAATTATTGACCTGCTTAGCCTACTACTTTGTTGAATTGTCCAACTCAATCCATGGGGCGTATTCAACTCAATGGACCGGGCCTGTTATGTGAGTTAGGACAGGGCCTATTATACTCCGTGGGCGGGGCCCATTATATGTATGATATGAATGGTATGTGGTATTTTGGGGAACTAACTAAGCTTTGTGCTTACAGTTGTTGTTTATGGTTTCAAGTACTTCCAGTGCTAAGGCATATTATGGTGGTTAGGTAGAAGATCGTGCTCTTGCTATTCTTGACTAGTCAGGTCACCTCTTGTTCTACTTTTAGTTAAAGGTGCGAAGAAAACAAAGGAAATATTCTAAAGGGTCCCGAAAGTTGTTGTTTTCACAAACCATTTCTTGCGTGCAAGGGTTTTAATTAACCATTGTTGTTTGATCTCGACAAAGACAAGTGATCATGATGTCTCATTTTTTTTACATGTCACTTGTCTGAAAGTTGTCCTGTTGCAGCAATTTAAATATTAAGAAGTCACCAAATGAATTAGTTGAGAAAGGGGTTTCCAAATAGAGGAAAAAGAAAAGAAATAAAATGCATTAAATTACGCCTAGCGTAAATACAATTACGCCAAGTGTAATGAACGGATGATTGCGATTTGGTCATTCATGGAATTGGACTTACGCTGTAACAACCCGAAATTCATATCCCTAATTGAAACCTTTTTCGCGACTCGTTCCGATCATCCAATCGCCGTTTCCGATTTCGTTTCCGTTTCCGACCTTTTATTAAGTCGTTAATGTGAATTTTATTTTATGACTTAATAAGTGTCTTAATACCCTTAAAACTCATTCTAACGTCTCATATTAATGATCAGAACATTTCTAGCATCAACCATATCGGGTTACGACAAATTGGCCGGGTGCGACCAAAAGCCCCGTCTAACACCGGTATCGGGTAAATTTCTACCGTGTCCCGAACTTGGACACTATTTAAAGTGATCCAAGTCTCCATTTTGAAGCTTTTTCTCCATTTTACAACTATCACTCCAACCTCTCTCCTAAATCTAAGTTCAAGGGTCCAAAACAAAGATTTAAGGCTTCAAATCAAAGAGGTAACATCCCTAACTTGTTATCTAACCACTTTAGCCTTCAAATTGATGTTTAAATTTAGTTTTGGGACCAAGAACATGAGTTTACGGCCAAGGATCAAGCTTGGGCCGTAAACTCCTCAAAATGGGGTTTTTAAGCCAAATTTACCCTTCCAAATCATAGTTGGGACTTACATATTACCTTGAGGCTTGCAAATCTGGACTTGGAACACATTAAACATAAATTATATGGGACAAAAGAGAGTTTACAACCAAGGCTCCTTCTTGGGCCGTAAACTCCTCTAAAAGGGGGATTAAGTGCCTTAAAACATGTCCAAATGCCTTGAAACTCAACCAATAGCCTTGTGGTAAATCCTAGATCCTTCTAAAAATAGTTTGGAGGTTTGTAACACTTCAAAAGTGCCACATATAGGAGTTTACGGCCTAGGAACATACCCTTGGCCGTAAACTCATAAAGACAAGCCAAAAATGCCCCTAATTCATCCCAAAGGCTTAGATAAATTTCTAGAATCACATGTAATTGATTTGGGAAGCATTAAAACAATTATTCAAGGGGGTATAGGAGTTTGCGGCCGTAAAATCCATGCTAGGGCCGTAAACTCCCTTAAGTATGTCCATTTGGTGTTTAAAATTCATTCCAAGCCCTTAAACCAAACCTAGAAATTATCCCCTAAGTGTTTCAAGCAAATTTGCACCATAAATCACCCCACCATGAGTTGACAGCCGTAAACTCATGGCGAGTGGGTGTTTAGACCGAAAATTCCATTAAGGAGTTTAATCTTGGGGAGTAAACTCAATTCCCAAGTCCCTCGCATCGTTACACGTCCGTAGATGTCACCCGGGTCCCACCAAACGCTTGTAATGAAGCGTTTTCGCGATTAGAAGCATATGTCCCTAAAAAATAAATAATTTAAGTCCTAATTGGATACAATTGTGTATCTTTACATTATACTTAGGAATCTTGTGCGTTTGGAAACCCAAAACCGACATTTAGGATCCAAACCGACGCGTTCTTCAACCGGTGAGTTCATACCCCTACCCTTTTTCAATGGTTTTTCAATGTTTTCAGGGGGGGGGGGGGGAATACAAGCAAAAGTTCAAGAACATCTTATACTCAATCACATGATTTCAGTTAAATGGTTTCATAATTGTACATTTTAAGAATTGAAAACCTTTTTTAACAAACTGTTTTAACTTGCAGAGTTGTTTGTTTTTAACCCAATTTTCAATTCTTATTATACACTGTTATATTGTGTACTTTGCATTTGATTGTTCACACTTAAACTGATAGAATACATAAACCATTGTAATGTCTGTAATAAAACACTAAGGTTCGAGTGTAAAAGATAGACTCCATTAGAAAACATAAAACATCTATACGTCCTTAATAATACACCTAGGCTCGAGTGTGATAGATAAATACTATCATAATACACAAATTACTGTAATGTCCTTAATAATACACCTAGGATCGAGTGTAAAGGACCGTAATCATTAAATAACACCTAGGTTCGAGTGAAATGTCCTTAATAATACACCTAGGATCGAGTGTAAAAGGACAGTCATCATTAAATAACACCTAGGCTCGAGTGTAAAGGACATGTACGTAGAACATAGCCAGTCGTAAATACTACTTTCCTAGTCGAAAAGTAAAGAGTAATCTTAATGATTGGAGACACGTCCTTGTAACACTTCCATGGCACGAGATAGTGGAGGACTAACCCTGTAACCAGAATCTCCGTTCGTAGGAGAGCGTGGCTTAAGTGTATAGATCTATACGGGACTGGCAATCCCACACCTGGCTGCTAGCTACAGCCGAACCGAATGGTTCAAGGGTGACAAAAGTCATAAAAAGGATACTGGCCATGGTCCGAGTCATATCCAGTCTGAGTATGGTTAAGGACTCGCAATCTAGATTATTAACGTTTTAGACTCAATTGCTAGCTTTATGTGCGTAGTAAAGCTAATGTATGTTCTAAGATGTCAGGCACACACACACACATTTAGGAAAACATGGGGTTTTCCTGGGGACAATACAGAACATAACCAGAACCGGTAGAGACACACACACACACACAGTCAGGGAAACATGGGGTTTTCCTGGGAAGGACACCGAACATAATCAGAATTGGTAATAATTCACACACACACACAATTAGGAGAACATGGGGTTCTTCCTGAGTAACAGTAGTAAGTAACTAGAAAAGTGTAACAAGTTAAACAACTGAACTACAACCCACAAGAATAATCATGTTTTCATCGTACATTGTTTACTTTACTTTCAGAGTTGGAAACTAACTTTACATAAGAAAATATGGGATGTTCTTGGATAACCACTTTTCAGGAAAATCAAAAGAACTCGTACATTTTCAGAAAAACTAACCGCTTATGAACTTACCAGCTTTATGCTGATTTTCAAACCGATTGTATTCTCAGGTCCGTGTTAGACATGTACTCGAAGATCCTTTTGACGAAGACGGAGTGCGAAGAAGACTCGTCTCATTTTGTTCATATATGTTATGTATCACACTTGTACATTTTACTTTTGAAACATATGTAAACTTTTCTATATGTAATGTAATGGTTGTTTACTTTACTTACTATGTGCATTGGATTTGACACTCAACATGGAGTCAACCCCGGAAATGTTTCCGCCTCCGGTTGTCGGGGTGTGACATACGCCCCGTGTACTGTCTAACTACGGCTAACGCAATTAAGCGACATGTTATATCTTTTTACCCTTTGACTTTTTATTATTCTTTCAAAATTTTCCTTCGCCCACATGCACTGAGACAGTCGAATCTTTCCACAAAACTCCGATTTTCTTCTTTTCTTGTAGAATCGACATCGAGGTATTTTTTTGGTTACCCTTCAGCTTAAATTTATGTTTAATTTCTTGAAATTGGTTAAATTGAACTATTTAGAAATCTAGGGTTTCTGCATTTCTTAAATTGGAGCCGATTTTAGTTGAATGTATGTTTGTTTATGGCTCAAATGGACCGATTTCACTTGATTGTGACTCAATTTGGCTTTTAAACTCGTGTGTTAACCTTCGATTTGGGCATTTGAACGTACGCAAAGAGTTCTTGACGTTAGCCCTGTGTATGACCCCTAGATTGTTTACTACCCTGCGTGTGTGCGTAATCTAAAGGCATTGTTATGGGTTATGACTTTTGAACAAACAAAGACTTGGTTACGAGCTCTTGGATGTACGCCCAATGTATGTTGGACCTACACCCAACGTAAATTCTTGACCAGCACCCATATTTTTCATTTAATTATGTTTAATGCTATGGTATTTTGTTTTGGTTTTGTGTTGTTTTTATTTTTGTAGATTATGGCTCGTAGAACTCCAAGAACCAACCCACCCGAGGACGTGACCGATCACTATTTATTGCAATTCCCGTAAACTTTGAACAATGAAACCCGAGCCAAATATGTGAACAATTTATGTTTTCTTCTTACTAAGGAGATTGACGTAGAACCTTCATTTGATTAGGGATTGGCGTCCTGAACTAGACTTGATGAGCTGATCTGGGATTTTTTGCGATGCACCCACTCAGACGCAAGTGGTGTGCCTTTGTTCGTATGCCAGGGTTGGGATAGATTTTTCAGGATTCAGGAGACTGTGTATCGGGAATTTTTGCTAGAGTTTTATGCTACAGTTTCCTATGATCCTAGGAAGACACCCGACAACAGGATGACCTTCTCCTTTAGAACTGGTGGTGTGATTTGGGAGTGCAGTGCGATTGAGCTTGCCACTCGAGTTGGGATATATACAGTAGACGAGATGAGGAGTGTCCACTTCCCGGCATTCCTTGCTGATTGTCTCACGGGCCAGCTAGATGACTACAATCAAAACACTTTCTGAGCAGAGATTACTGGGGGAGTGTACACACCATCTACTGGTCGAGGGAGGATGATTCGGTCTACCACATATAGATTGCTGCACCGTCTGATTTACATGTCTCTCATGCACCATAAGAATAGTGAGAGAGTTCCTGTGACAGACCTGTATTTCTTATGGTCGCTTGTTACTCTAGGGAGGCACCTAAACCTTCCAGTTTCTTTAGCTGCTTATATGGGTAGGAGGGACAAGGGACTTCGAGAGGATAGCCTGATTTGTGGGGGGCATTTTATCACACGCTTAGCCCAATCTTATTGGTTATTGACACGCGAGATTACGAGATCGATGGTGTTTCATGATATGAGGCCGATGAGCCTTCAGTTATTGGAGTCAATGCGTGTACTTGAGCGGGGCGAAGATGGTGTCTTACGGGTACGACCAGATGATGTGGCCGACGAGGAGGGTGTAGTCGCGCCACACCCATGATGAGCCCAACGACGTAGACCTAGTCGTCGAGGAGCGCAACAGGGACCTGAGCCAGAGATTGATATACGTTACCAGGCCCAACGCGTGGACGAGGGATTGTAGAGCCTGGGTGAGCGCGTTGCACAAGTAGAGAGACGACAGCAGTGGTATGGGGATGCATTAACAACATTCTTTGCCCATCAGGGGTTTCAGTACCCAGTTCCTTTTAGTCCACCATTCCAGTCATGACCTGATGGAGCCGGTACATGTGGGACACAGTAGCACGATGACGAGGATGACGAGTGACTTAGTTTATCGTTTTTATTTTTATGTTATTTTTAGTTTATTTTTGCGTTGCTTAGTATTAGTATTTTTATCTGGTATGTAATTAGTTTAATTTATGTTGTTTTATTTTTGGTACTTTTGTTTTCCATGTTGATGCTCTTTGGTTGTTTTGATATTTGCAGAATTTTCACTCTTAGAAAGCTGACAGTAAGTTTAGCAGCTAGGTCCGACTGTTGCTAGAGAGAGCCTTGTGAGAGTTCGAAGATTATAGTCAAGACCCACGATTTGTCATAGTGTGGGGTGCGTGTTGATTTCGTGAGAGATTATTTAGAAGAGTGGCATTTTTATTATATTTTGACTCTTATGGTATGAATGAGCTGTTCCCACACTATAGAGTTTTATTTCTATGCGAGGTAGAAGTATGATCTTGGCTGTCACGACATAGTTGACACTTTCCTATGTCGTGGGGGAGTTTTCATCGCGAGAGGAGGCTGCCATTCTTGATATGACGATGTGACCAATAATTTTCACATTGTGGCCATGTTTAGATTTCACATCTCTCGACGAGACGATGTGGTTGACACTTTCCCATGTCATGGTTACTACACATTGCATTTATTTGCAATCTTTGCACCACATCTTAGAAGTCGGCGTTCTTGAAAATTCAGAAGCAACAGTTCTAGTTTCCAGTCTTTCAGCAATGTTTGGAGCAACTTGTACCAGCCCCATTCGATCTCGCTACAACTACCCTAGGGGAGTTTGTTCCCTTTTCTCTTTTTCTATGTGCTTAATTAGTTTTATGCATACAATGAATGCATTGTACGAAATAAGGGTGGGGTAGGGGGTCGATAAAAGTAAATTAAAAACTGAAATAATAGTTTAAAAATTGCTAGATTTAGGAAAATTTAAAAATTTATAAACTTGAAATAATAGTTTAATTTAGGAAAATTTAGTGATATTATAAAATTTTGCTAATATTGTATGGGATGATCCGATGTGAACTCAAATGTTTAGTTGAGCCAATACACGTTATAGTGCATTTGTGGCCTCCCTTATTCTAGTGAAATCATGGGACAAAAACACAATTTCGTTTAGTTTGAGGGATGCAATATGTTTAGCAGCCTGTACCTGAAATGTATCTAGGAAAACTTATGTAGTCATTGCACTTAGACTAATGTCTTAACCAATAAGGGTTGAAGTAGAGCGCCCCTGCTTAAGCATGTAGGTTTTGAGTGAAAAAAAGTGAGATACATGTAAAAAAAGAGAGAGAAATTACTAAAAAGTGGAAAATTGAATATTTTTTTTAGCAATCAAAGTCATAATATGAAGATCAAAGAACAAAAAAAAAAATTCAAAAGTGGAAGATGCCAAAAATCAAAGAGAAGAAGAATTCAAGAGCTCCAAGTTGTGGTATCCTCTAAAAGTTGTAATTCTCTAGTTTATGTATACTTGGGTAGCTCTACAAAAAATACCTTGAGGTTAGAAAGTTTTATGCGGATGGATTCAGAGGGTTGCATAAAATGAACATTGTTCAAAAGAAGTGGGCGAGTGTTTATGAGGATTGTGACTGTTTAAAATCAGGCACTACTAGAAAACAACCCTTTAATGACGCGCAAACAATGACACTCGCTAATAGAGGGCGTGCATTTGTGCGTGCCCTAAAAAATAATGTCAATTTTGCAAAATTTGAAGGATAGTGGACACACATTTGTGCGTGCCCTAAGATTAGTGTTAGAAAAGAAAAAAAGGAAATGCGGAGGGCGCCTTTCATAAAATGTGCGTCATCTAAATGTGTCACTTTATAACATTTTAATGAAACACGCGTTTTTAAGGCGGGATTTCATCCGCCTATTGAATCATAAAAATTAAACCCCCCGCCTCTTCCAATTAGCAAGAAAAAGCCATAGGGCCTTCGTCTTCTTCTTTATAGTTATCAGTAAAAAATTAAACAACATTCTCTTCCATTTTGGATTCAAGGGGACAAGTGGTTTTAATCGGGGCAACAAACTGGATTGATGTGCTTGATGGAGCATTGAGAAGACCCGATAGATTTGATCGTGAGTTTCCTTTCCTTGACCTAATTTATCATGCTCTGCAAATTCAATGGCTTCTTTGAAATCTATAGTTGAATCAGATCCAACCATACCTTATCCTCTTCAAGGTCTCTTTCACCGACCAACCTAAGTCGGTCAAAAAACCCTTCCGTTGGACACCCTAAGCCGCCGCCGCCTTAAGCAGTGCCTCCACTGCCCACCGGGCGTGTTCTTCTCCAGCATCAAGAAGCACCAACCACGCATTCTATTGCTCCATATATGAATTCTTTTGCTTCCAACCCGCTCATCGACCATCCGTTCTCCTCCCCTTGTCGGTACTCTTCTAGCCCTTTATTTTTTTTCTTTTTGAAAGCAGATGTATGTTTGGTGAGAGAAACATTACCTTTATGTTGAAATCAGTTTTTTAATGTTTATATATAGATATGTGTAAATGGTTTTCTCCCTTTCATGTTCTTTTCTACATTTGGCACAAATATTGAACAACTGTGTAAATGGTTTTCTCCCTTTCATGTTCTTTTCACAATGGGAGCTCATGTTTTGATCCTGGAAGAAACAAGGATGAACTCACAATCGATGAACAACTGATGTCAGGTAAGACCTACGTATCTCACCTTCTATGACTTTTGCGTTATTACATGTGAATACACTTTGTGTTGTTATCATTCAATCTTCATAATTTTATGTTGGAATCATTGATTGAAATTGAAGAAAATGATTCAATTTTTGGTGAGGTTCAATATTGTTCCTAAAAACTTAGGAGACTTTTTTTGCATACAAAAATGCCCCTGTGTGCCTAATATTAGAGCCGAGCTGTTAGTCCTTTAAATCATGAGTGAAGCAATTCCATCTAGCAATATATATTGGGATGTATCTAAATATTTCAAATTTTATAATGTGAAGGATTTGTAAGGACAACATGGATAAAAGCTTTGGGGATTGTTCAATTCCACAAGAAAAGTCGAATGCTGATATAAACGAGGAGTTGGAGTTATCTGAAGCAACTGGTGAGGAAGACGCTTCTAATATTCTTTAATGTAATTGATTTTAGTGCAGTTGTGACTGTACGTTTGATGTGAATCTCAAATTCGAATCGTTTTACGAAAAGTTATCTACTTTTTCTAGTTGGAGATTACTTCTCAACTTGATACTCTACTAGACTACTGTTAGTGTGGAACTTGCAGCAAAATTGAACCCAATTTTACGTTTGAAATGCGCTAGGTTTTTCATTTAAAGAAATATTGCTCCAATGTACTATATACTTATCAGTCACAATATCCTAACTGACACATGAAAAACGAAAAGAAAAGGAAGTTTTGTGAATGCATTGGCTGGATCACTTTCTGGAATTATGGAAATCCAATCTAATTGCATTTGCATTTTGTAGGGCATAAGAGTTGTGACTGGGCCAATGGTATGTCTCCTAATTCTCAAGGTGAGGAGGAGTTTTTGTTGAATGATGTCTTTGGACTAAATTCAACCGAAAGATATTTGATCTACAGAACTACACTGGCGACCGATTAAATTTTGGATTGGCAGCTAAGGAAGCAAAGTCTGAAGGTTACAAAGTAGAGGTGAGTGCATATAGACATAATTGACATGCAGATATGTTATGCCACTCATACTTGGAAAATATAATATTTGTTTGTACTTTTGTAGATGGTGATTGTTGGAGATGATTGCGCCTTGCCACCCCATGGGCCATAGCTGGGCGAAGAGGTTTGGCTGGAACCATTCTTATCCACAAGGTTTATCCTCTGTTATAATATATTTGCAAATACATGATAGGAAAATAAACCATAACAAGAATGCATACCAAGATACATGATCTCCATATCCCTTACTATGAATTTGTTTATATTCCTTTCGAATTTTCAGATTGTAGGAGCAGCAGCTGCTTCTGGTCTTCCTCTTTCTGATGTTGCTGCTGAAGCAAGGCATGCATGTGGAGTTGTTGGTACGATGGGTGTTGCACTCTCGGTTTGCACGCTTCCAGGTCAGCCGAAATCTCACCATTTAGGCCCAGGAAAAATGGAGCTTGGTCTTGGAATTGTAAGTTTATATACATTTGCTTTTTTCTTTTTTCTTAAAAAAAAAAAGTTAACTCAGTTGCATTTGCTTCAGCATGAAGAACCTGGTGTTGTCGTGGAAGACATCCAACCTGTGGATTTGTTGGTATCCCATGTGTTGAATCGCATACTGTCATCAGTAAGTCACTTCAGACTGACTCATTGGTTTGGATTTATGATTTTGTCTTACACTACACACAGTACACACTGCCTTGTTTGATATGCCATCAAAAGTTGGATTATGTTGTCAACATCTATCATGCTCTAGAAAGAATATCCAGGATAATACCCAAAAGTTGAATTCCAGTCAATCAGGACAAAAGCAGCTAATAGGTACTTGTTGACTTGCAAATCTTTTGTTTTCTTGAACTTCCATCTCTCATTAATCATGCCATTGTTGCAGATCCTCCATAACACTCTTGGAAGCTTATAAAGACAAACATGTCTCTGCATCACAATCGTAAAAATCAGACTATTGATGAGGTTATTTGTTTTTATTATTTATTAGATCTAACATGTAGCTTGTTTGCTAAAATGTGTGTTCTTGAAATGACTATTAGATCATGGTTTGCCAGTGTAAACCTTCATTAGATGGGCGCATTGGATGTCAGGATGAATGTCTTATTAGGATGCTAAATATAGAATGTGTAAAGGGAAAATGCCCTTATTGAGATTTGTGTTTAAATCAACAAGTTATTTATAATTTAAATTTTGAGTGTATGTGTTTGTTAGAAGAGTTTATGGCATATTGACATTAGCACCTTTTACAAATACAATTTCATTTTTTACATATTTTTGTAGGTGCTTGATATGCCTACTTATGAGGCTTCACAAAAAGAATATGCTCGAAAGGGTCATAAGCATTTCTATTTCATGACATTGAATGGCAGTGAGGTTAGTATGCCCTTTAAATACACCTTTTGGATGAGATAAACAACATTTTATTTCAGATTTTAGACTATCATTATGCCCAGTTTTTGTACTTATTCTTATTCAGATGTTGATAAAGAACATTTTATTTCAGGTTATTTTTGTCTCTGAGAAACTTGTAATTGGTGTGGGCTATGGCTGCAATCCCATATTTTTTGCAGCAGACATAATAGGATCATGGTACAATTCTATGTTTTAGTTTTCAGGGTTATACATACAGAGTAGGAAGGTAGATCTGGTCACAATATACATGGAGGCTGATGAAGGAGACAATTACACACATATTCCAGTAAGAAACAGAGTTGGATGATTATTTGTTAGATTTATAGGAATGTATAACCCATGTTAGCAATGTATTATTTTTATTTAACATTTGAATGATTATTTGTATGACATTATAATTTGTGCAATTTATTTTATTTTTTGTGTATGAAATTTTATTTTATATTATGCAATGGATTGCATTTTTTGTATATGGTATTTTATTTCTATTGTGAGACATTAAATGCAAATTTAATGTAAAAATTAATAAATATATAAATATATATTTTTTAAAACATTTAAATTTACGATACGCAAACATGTGTGTCATCTTCGTTTATGACATGGCCTTTCTTGACAGGGGTTTTAATGATACATATTGAGTGTTATAAATGCGCGTCATCTATAGACGACGAACAAAAGCGTGTCGTCTCTCTTTATAATAGGGCGTTCCTTGATGAGCATTTGCGCGTCATTTGAGCCTTTTATGACGCGCAATGAGCGTCTCAAAAGGCTGTTTTTCTAGTAGTGAGGGGGGGGGGGGGCTTAGGAAAAATTTTAGACACAAATGAATGCATTGCGGTCTTGACATAATGGTTAAGTTTAAAATGGATTGTTTTGTGCGGTATTGGTAAAATAAAAGTAAGTTTGCTTGGGGGCAAGCAAATGCTAAGTGTGGGGTATTTCTACCAACTGAATTCAGGTTCTTGCTTGGCATTCAACCTTCACTATTGGTATACAACTTTGTTTTGTTCTGTTGATTTCCCTATCAATAGCCTCCACTTATTCTTCTATGAAGTGTATACTTTCATTTAATTCGATTTCATCAAGTGGAATCACAAGAGTCTCATGCGGTAGTTTGAGTTTATATGCAATCGGACCAATTCTAGCAAGAATATCGAATGGTCCGATATACCTTGGAGTTAGTTTTCAACTTTTGCCAAAGCGTATCGTTCCTTTCCATGGTGAGAACATTAATAAGACGCGGTCACCAACCTAGAATTCCAAGGTTTTTCGCCATTTGTCTGCATAAATCTTCTATCTGTATCTAGAAGCTTTCAAGCGTTCCTAGATTTGTACAATCTTTTTTGTGGTTTCTCGGATGATTTTAGGACCGGTTAGAGTATTGTCGGGTATCTGGTTCTTGGCTAGTTGTGTATCACCCACTTTAGCCCAGCACAGAGGAGATTCACATTTAAGTCCATAGAGAGCTTCAAAGGGTACAACTTTGATGATAGTGTGATAGCTTTTGTTGTAGGAGAATTCAACTAGTGGTAAATGGGTATCCCAAGCTTTACCAAAATCTATCACACAAGCTCTTAACATGTCTTCTAGCATTTATATGGTTCTCTCACTTTTCCCATCAGTTTGAGGATGGTAAGCTGTACTTATGTCAAGATTTGTTCCCAATGACTTTGCAATGATTGCCAAAACTGCAAGGTAAATCCACTATCTAAGTCAGAGATAATGGATATTGGCTCACCATGCAATCTTACTATCTCTTTAATATACGTCCTTGATAACTTGTCCATTTTTTAGTTTTATTGGCAGGAAGTGTGCGGATTTGGTTATTCTATCAACTATTACCCAAATGGTGTCATGACCACCCGTTTTCTTGGATAACTTGGTTATAAAGTCCATTGTAATCTGATCCCACTTCCACTCAAGTATTTCTAGTTTTTTAAGTAAACTTGAGGGTTTTAATATTCTACCTTAACTTTAGCGCAAGTTAGACACTTGCCCACATAGGTAGCAATTTCAGCTTTCATGTTTGGCCACCAATAAAGTTTCTTAAGGTCCAAAATGCTAGTCTTAACATTAGTAGGCCTTTCACGAAGCCGGTCTATAAGGTGGGTATAAGGTTATTGCCTATAAAATGGCGCTTAATGGGTGTACACTCACACCCACCGCTTGCTTGACTGGTGGAGGGTCGATAGCCAAACGGGTAGGATAGGGCAATCCTCTCCTCATTAAAAGTATAATGTAAGATACAAAGTAACTACATGTTTTACATATTCCTAATCTTAGTTACGTTAGGATAAAATGTGAAAATGATGCTATTCCATGGAATTACACTTTGTACCCTTGTCAAACGTTAATGGAGCGTGTATGGTTAACCGACACACTAATTTCGGATTGAAATTGGTGGCGAAGGGTAACTCAATGTTTATCATAGATCAATGGAGCGTGTGTGTTTTACCGAAACATTGATTAGGCGATAGAGACATTGAGTGCACCATGTTGATTCGCATGGTTATTCACAACTTGTTTGCGATCCTCGGTATCCCAGTCGCAAATTTGAAGTGCATATCGAGATTTAAACATGCCATTGAATAGCTCAATGAATCTTAAAGATCTAGGAGTTTTCAATACATTTAAAACTTAAATCTTCTTTTTCGTTTTTCATGGTGAGAATTAGTGAATCATCATTCACTTACCTTCAAATTATTTACTTTTAGAGTACGACATCCCTTTCTAAGTTGTAAATAATATTGTTGGGTCCTAGCCCTAATCTCTCATTTGGATGTTTTATTAGGGACTCAAGCCTAATCAAACTTTGTTCCTTTTCTTTTTCAGATGTCTGCAAAAAACAATAACAACAACGCTTCTTGGTCATTCTCGTTGATAAACCTATGTCAAAAGGTGACATTTGATGGCTCAAACTTCAATGAGTGGATGAGGTATATTTGTATGATCACTCACTACGAGGATAAATAATATGTCCTCGATGAAAAGTTTGAGAAGATCATCCCAGATGTTGCTACTCCTGAAGAGTTGGCTGCCTTTGAGGCCCACGAGCATGATGCTGCGAAAGTTCATTGCATCATGCTGGCCACCATGAACCTCGAACTCCAAAAGTGTAATGAGGACATGTATCCGTATGAAATGCACCAGGACTTGCTGGACCGGTACCACCAAATCGCGAGGCAAGAGTGCTATGAGATCATTACTAACTTGATCACCGCTAAGATGGGGAGTGGAGAATTCCTAACCTCTCATTTGCAGAAAATGCAGAGGTATATTGATCGTCTTCTCAAACTTAATATTAAGTTTGATGAGGATTTGACAATCGACATAATCCTCCACTCATTTCCCTCCTGTTACAACCAGTTTAGAATGACCTACCACATGAATAAAGAGAAGGTCTGCTTGAGCAAGCTCTAAGGACTGTTGAGGACTGCTGAGAGGAACCTCAATGACAAATCTGTTACACCATCCCCTGCTGTGGCTGCTCCCGTGTTGGCAATTGGTCAAGGAAAGGGAAAGAAGAGAAAGTCTCCATGTAAGGGCCACCACAAGGGTAAGACCCAATATGGTTCCTCTTCAAGTGGAACCAAAGTTGGTTCGGTCAAACCCTCTTCCAACCCCAAAGAAGCAGAGTGCTATTACCGCCACAAGAAGGGTCACTGGAAACGAAGTTGCCCTCAATATCTGCAAGACATAAAGAATGGGAAGATCAAGCCCACCTTCACAGGTATGTATTCTATTAAATCTAATAACTCATCATTTGCTACTTCATGGGTTCTTGATATAGGTTGTGGTTACCACATTTGTTCTGAACTGCAGGTCCTAAGAAGAAGTTGGGAAATGGAACATGGGAAGATAAACTTGATTATGGGAAACAGAAGATTGTCACCTGTGACCAGAGTTGGAGTTTATTCTTTAGTGCTGAGTAATGTGTTAGGGTTAGATTTGGAAAATTGTTGTTATTCTCCAGATATGGCAAGAAACATTATTTCATTTCATGGATTTTTTAGACAAGGTTTCATATATTATTTTGATAATAGTAATGGTTCTTTAATGTTTATTTGAATGGTGTCTTTTATTTCAATGTATTACCTTGTAATGGGATTTATGAATCTGTGATGGTTGTTGATAATTTAAGAAATGATGTATTGAATATTGATTCCTCTACTAGCCTAGAAAAAGCATGCTTGTGGCATTGTCGCTTTGTCCATGTCAACAAGAAACGCATAGCCCAACTCCACAAGGATGGAGTGTTGGAGTCATTCGACCTTAGGGACGATGACGCGTGTGAATCTTGTTTACTTGGGAACATGACCAACTCACCCTTTACTGGCACTTGTGAAAGGGGTGAAGGTCCATTGGATCTCATACACACTGATCTGTGTGGGCCCTTTAGATCCACCACAAGCGATGCTTGCCACTTCTACGTGACTTTTACGGATGATTATAGCAGATATGGATGTATCTACCTAATCAAGAAAAAGTAGGAAACCTTTGAAAAGTTCAAAGAGTTTAAGAATGAAGTGGAGAATCAGCTGGGCAGGAAAATCAAGATGTTTTGGTTAGACCGGGGAGGAGAGTACCTAAGTATTGAGTTTCACGACTATCTAAAAGAATGCGGAATTGTTTCGCAATTGACGCCTCCGAGAATGCCGCAATTGAATGGTGTGGATAAGAGACATAATCAAAACTGTTTGGACATGGTTCTTTCTATGATGTGTCGGACTTTGTTACCAATATCTTTCTTGGGGTATGTTTTAGTGACTGCCGCCCACATCCTTAACTTAGTTCCCACCAGGAAGGTTACCAAGACTCCTCACAAGATGTGGACAGGGAAAGCTCCTTCGTTAGCACATATTAAGGTTTGGGGTTGCAATGATTTCGTAAGACGAGATACTCACGACAAGCTCGGACCTCATAGTGAGAAGTGTTATTTCATCGGCTATCCACAAAAGTATTTTGGTTATCTTTTCTATAGACCAAATGACAATGTTGTCTTCGTTGCTAGAAGAAGAGTGTTCCGAGAAAGGGAATTGATAAGCCAAGAAGACAGTGGGAGGCAAATTGATCTTGAAGAGATTCAAGAACAAAGCGATAAAGGAACCTCTAACACTGGTGCTCAACCTGAGGAGGAAACTCCTGTTGAACCCGTTAACGAGTCCGTACCTCATAGACGTTCTAATAGGGTTAGTGTTCAACCCCAGTTTTATGGTTTTCATATTACTAATGAAGGGGACACATTTATTAGTGATGAAACACTAATGAATTTGGACGAACCTAGCAGCTACAAAGAAGACATGG